GAAGCAACGGGTGGAAACTGATCAAGGAGAGAAGCAACTTAGAACTAAGGAGAAACTTCCTGACAGTTAGAACAATTAACCAGTGGAACAACCTGCCTCCAGAAGTGGTGAATGCTCCAACACTGGAAGTTTTTAAGAAGAGACTGGACAGCCATTTGTCTGAAATGGTGTAGGGTTCCTGCCTGGGCAGGGGGTTGGATTCGATGACCTCCAAGGACCCTTCCAACTTTATTATTATTATTATTACCCATGTGACATTTTTACGCTACATGATGCCACCTGTTGTGACTGATCAGAGTACATTTATAGATTTATTATTTATTATTGATAATTTTGAAGAATAATGTACAGCTATTGTGAAAAATCAGTAGCAAGACCCGAGTTCCAAAGTTGATTTGCCCTGGAGATACCTCAGGTAGAATCTCTTTTAACACCTACTGTAATTATTCTTATTTCATCTCCTACTAAGCTTTCCACCAGCAGATGGAGCTTTAAGGACTATGCAAGTTCCTTCCTCTGGGGATATATAGCTTCTAACTGTGATTTGAATTAAAAATAGATTTTGGCTGTGCACATTTGGTGAGCGTCCTTTAGTAAGTAAATATGAATAAATGTAATATCAGTGTGATTGCTTAGTTGATTGAGAAGCTTATTTTGAAGATGGTGGGTAACCTAATTCTGGCATCAGAATTCACGTGTCAATTTACCAGCATATTCTCTTCTTATTTAACTTTATTTTACAAGTTTATACAGCAACCATCTTTTGGATCTTGGAATCTTAGTGGACAATCAATTAAATATGTGCGGTGGCAGCCAAAAAAGCCAATGCAATCCTAAGTTGCATTAACAGAGGGATTCAATCAAGAGTATGTGAGGTGTAAATAACAGTCTATAAAGCCTTAGTAAGACCACACCTAGAATAGTGCCTCCAGTTTTAGTCTCCACACTATAAAAAAGATGTTGAGACTCTAGAAAAAGTGCAGAGATGAGCAACAAAAATGATTAGGGGACTGGAGGCTGAAACATACGAAGAATGGTTACAGAAACTGGGCATGGCTAGTATAGTGAAGAGAAGGACCAGGGGAGACATGATAGCAATGTTCCAATATTTGAGGGGCTGTCACAGAGAGGAGGGGATCAATCTATTTTCCAAAGCATCTGAAGGCCAGACAAGGAATAATGGATGGAAACTGATCAAGGAGAGATTCAACCTAGAAATAAGGAGAAATTTTCTGATAGTGAAAACAATCAACCTATGGAACAGCTTGCCTTCCAAAGTTGTGGGAGCTTCATCATTGGAAGCTTTCAAGAATAGACTGGACAGCCATCTGTCAGAAATGGTGTAGGGTCTCCTGCTTGGGTGGGGAGTTGGACTAGATGACCTATAAGGTCCCTTCCAAATGTGTTATTCTATTCTATTCTTCCCTTTGTTTTGGGACTTGTACTAGTTGCCAGTTAGGGGGCAATTCAAGGTGCTGGTATGATCCATAAACCCTTCACCACTTTCAGGCCCAAGAAGCCAAGAACAATATGAGGAGTTACTTCAGAGTAGTTTCTTTATTATTGCTCACCTATAGACAAAATTTTTGCCAGACTAAGGCAACAAACTGCATAATTATTCTGTCTCTTAAATAGAAATGAGCAATGTTGGGATTCTCTGTATCCCATCTATGAAACAAAAACAGCATCCTGCCCTCTTCTTCAGCTCTGTGGTTAGCTCAAGAAGACGATACATCTGCATCCATGGTCTACAGTCACTGCTCTACATTGGGTCTCATCTGAAACCCCAACTAACTTTGCCACAGTTTTAATATTAGCCAATCTACTTGGACTGAGTTTTCAAAAAGAGTTTGGAGAAGATAGTTTCACAGAATTGCTGAATAGGAAATCATGAGATCTTATGACCTCATCCTAAGACTCATATAGAAGCAAAAAGGAATTATTTGCAGATAACAATAGCTCTTTAGGGGAAATAGAAAAAAAGATCTACTTTCTCTGGATTGAGCCACAGCCAGTGAACCACATAGAGAATTTTTTTAAAAGATTTTATTGAGTTTTATAGAGCTAGGGATAAAATAGGATCGGGATAGGGATTAAAATTTAGGGTGGGGTTAGGATCAGGATTGGGATAGGGACAAGATTGGGATCAACATTGGGGTTATCCCCCAGTAACATTTTCAATCTTTAACAAACAGACTATTGTCCAGGTACATATGTTCAATTAACAATAGTTGATATAATAATAAATAATTGTAGTAAATATAATAAATGATAATCACAAACAATATCAGTTAGTCAATGCATATCATTCTTCTTACTAATATATATTACATTCATTTCTCACTTGTTTGTTTTCCTAACCATTGGTAAAAATGATTCCATGTTCTAAAGTAAACTGAATCTTCTTTTTCTTTAATCTCTACAGTCAATCTATCCATTTCTGCACATTCTAAGATTTTCTTATTTAAAACCTTCAGTTGGTAAGTTTTCATTTTTCCAGTATTGGGCAAATGCTATTCTCGCTGCTGTCAGTCCATGCAATATTAAATATTCATTCTCCTTCTCATAATTAGGTCCTAGTATTCCTAACAAAAAAGAGTTCTGGTTTAAATTCTATCTGTCTTTTAATCATCTTTTCCAACCATGTATGTATCTTAACTCAAAACTTTTTTGCTTTAGGGCATGTCCACCAGATATGATAGTAAGTACCTGGCCAACCACATAGAGAATTTTTGTCTAAAACAGCCACTTGCATTTTCACAAGCAAGCAAAAAAAGTCCAGAGTTCCTCCATGATTTGTCATTAGCTCTTTCTGGGGAGTATACCAAATACATAAGGTTATTGTAATGACCTGCCCCAGGTGGTCCTCTCAGGAAAGCACTTCATTAAGGTTAATCAAAAGAACTTTTACTGCAATAAAGTCAGGGGGAATCTAACGGTCCCATGTAAAGTACAAAGCAATTCTTTCCATTCCAAAACCCAATCCCTGGACCATTTCACCAGCTGCCAATATGATGCTTCAAGGTTGCTTTGAGAATGCTGAGGTGTAAGGCAGATAACAAAACATCCTCAGGGCGCAGTGGCCTTGGAAACAAGTTGGAACTGGCTGAGAAGGAGTCTGCTTCATCTCCAAAGATAATCCCCTTCCCTAATTCTCAAGCAATTACAGCAAAAGTGAAAGCATGTGAAGAATGCCCCGCAGAGCCTCCCCCTCCCCCTCCAACAGAATGGCAGGACACCAGCATAGTGACAGTTATTTTTTTTTCCTTCCATAAAAATTATATATTGCAGTGTTGTTTTAGTTTCATTTGCTTCTGTATATGTCCTCAGTAATATGGAACTCTGCTTATATACAGGCAATAAATCTATTACAAATAGTTGGAATATAGTGGCTTTAAGTACAATATATATACTGTATACACACACACACACACACACACACATGTAGGAAGAGAGATTGGTTTATATATATAACCACTTGAAATCTTTTCAGTCTTTCTCTGATTCTTTTCTTTGGGAATCGTACTTTTTTCCCATTTAAATGTGATTTCATAAGGTCTTTTCTTGTTGTATCAGTTGTCCTCCTTTTGATACAGTTGATTTGATGCATCCTGGTCTCATGGAGATACAGATATATCCAGATAATGTTGAGATACAGTTCCATTATCCTTCACCACTGGTTATGTACCTGATAGAACCTGGGACATTTTGAAGGTTACATGTGTCAATCCATGGCTTAGTCATTCTATGATGAATGACTTCCAAAGATGTGAATGTCAGCTTTGAAAATTCTCAACAATGGTTCTACTGGCTAGACATTGAAGTTCAAGCACACAGAATTGGAGGCCACTCAAGTCAGGAAAAAAATGAAGTAAAGCAAGCTAATTAATCTTCAGGTGGGAGATACTAGGTAAATAGATTATTTGAAAAATGTTTTGATATTCCACAAAGATTATTGTCTGCATAAATTATGGATTCAAGCACAAGTTAATCAGTATAGAGATCAGTTTCTTTTAAATAATAAAAAAGGGAAATTATGGGCTTGCTTGAAAAGAAATGAATGTATCTTTTGAATGACAATGGTGAAATTAAAGAGTTCAGATTTTGGAACTTTCTGAAGTTTCTATTTGATCAGAACAATTTTCTTCCTCCTTGAAAACTTTCTGAAGCACGTCTTTGATGCTCCTCTGAGTTTTACCCTTCTGTCTCCCCACTAGGTAATAAATCAGAGGGTTAATGCTGCTGTTGATGCACGTGCATAAGTAGCCATAATGTACAAGGTTGGGATGTATATAATTTGAAAAATACAGGATAAAATAAAAGGCATTTAGCGGAAAAGCCAAGACTAAGAAGAAGAAAAGAGTGAGCAAGACAACTGTCAAAAGCTTCCTCCTCTTTTGGCTTTTGGATATGAAGCAGATTTTGATAAACAAGATGACACTGGAGATTGTCATAAGTGGGAGACAAAGCACAGCATTAACCATGAAGTGATACTTCACGGTATATTCTGGTTCATATCTATGAATAGCTGCAATTGTGAAGTAAATTGAAGAGAGGATGAAGGAAACGGCCCAGATGACAGCAGACACAGTAGTGAACAGATGCACCGGCCGGTGGCATCGATACCAAATTGGGAAAAGGACTGAAATACACCTGTCGATGCTGATGACTGTCAGTAGAAATTGCCCAGCACTGTACATTAACAGCAGGACCGTTTGGAAGAGTTCATAGGGAAAGTCACAATACAAGTGTGTAAAAAACCAGTGGATTTCGATAATCAGCTCAGTGGTGAGCATGCCAAAGTCTGCAACAGAGAGGTTGAGAAAATAAATGGCAAAAGTATTCCTCTTAACGGAGTAACCCAGCAGCCAGATCACAAGGCCATTCCCCAGCATTCCCAACACACAAAAAAGCACAGTGAATATTGCAAAAATAAGCACTTCTTCCATTTTTTCAGGAGAACTGGTTTTGTTTTCGCAGCTGGAAACATTGATTTGTGCTGGAGAGAGGGACATCATATTCATTATGCTTCAGTCTTTTTTTTCTTCCTTCTTCCTTCTATGGCTTCAGATACTCCTGCTGGAACAAAACAGAAACAGCTGGCATTAGTCTTAGTCTCTAAAACTGCATATTGCAAGGTAGTCTCTAGATTAGCAGTCCTGTGCTCACAATTAGCCTGCAAGGATCAGGTTTTGTATGGTTGAGATAATGGTGATGATCTGGCCTTGTTTATCTGACTAAAAATTGTTATGTGAAAGCCTTGGTTCATCAAAGCAATAATGGGTAGTGGAGGTCACCTTCCATCTATGGACCGTCTATGGTCTATCTGGTGTTGTCATGGAACATGGAAGATTGTGACTTCAAATAGTAAGCAAAATGGATTCATTAATGCGATGGATGGATGGATGGATGGATGGATGGATGGATGGAAGGAAGGAAGGAAGGAAGGAAGGAAGGAAGGAAGGAAGGAAGGAAGGAAGGAGAGATGGCGAGAAGGAGAGAGAAGGAGGAAGGGAGGAAATGTGGTTATGTTAAAGTAAAAGAAAGTCACCTTCATGTCTCTTGACTTGGCTAACCCTTTAAATGATGTAGTAATCAGTGCTCAGTCATTGCAGGGTGCAAATATGGCTGCCCGCTGTTGCAGCGTTTATTCTTTTATACAGTTTTACAAGCAGCAAAAATTTAACATGGCAATAGCATAGTAACAGCATTTCTATTGGTGAAACCCCTTGCCAATCATTAAGAATATAGAAGCCAGAGGCCCAGAACAGGGAACAATTGGCTGTAACATCCTGTTGGTGTAAGCTAGCTGATATCAGGCAGGTGAGGTCATTGTACCAGCCTGGGGTACTTTCCCACATTGCCATAGTGATGTGAAGGGAAAAGATAATGTAGAGAGAAGAAGCACGCAGGCGTTGGAAGGGCAGTTTGCTGCTCATAACCTCTACCTGGCCCCACCTCTACAAATGAGTCCCAAATCTCCTTTCAAGTTTCCTATAGATATGAATTCCTATAGATAGGAGATCTATATTGAGGGATTCCTTGGCTTCCAGTGCTTTAGAATGTAGTCAATTGCACAGCAAGAAAAATATTAAAAGAGGAGAATAGTCTGACAAATTATTGGCATTACTCTCATTGCAGAAATGTTTTGGTATTATTCTGGGGCATTTGTTTTCCCTCTATACACATTTTTTTTTTGCATTCTACTTTAAAAGGTACCTCTTTTGCAGAAATTTGTACAGCAGGCAGAAACTAGAAAAATATGAAAGTATTATGAAATAATACTTGCAGAATACCTATATTGTGAAAAAGTGTACATGAACATCTTTAAAAAGAGAAAACATATACAGAATGTGTACATTAGCAGAAGCTCACTCAAAACATGTAAAATTCTTTGCATGGATGACAATGATGATGATAATCATCATGGATTGCATGGGTTAAAAAGCAATCTTAGCTTGAATATGAAATGGGGTTGATAGAATCTGAGGTGGGGAAAAAAGAAATGGCATGTAATAATAAAAAAACTACTCCTTCTCTGCATATTAAGAAACAAGGAAGCAATTTTGTAAAGGGTTTATCTGATCAGGCTAATTATTTCTTAAAGCATCTGTATTCAATGGAAGTATAGCAATATTACCAGGATGAACAGGTAATATTCAGATTTCAATAATCGGCATCACTACAGAATTAATACGAAGGGGAGATGACAGATCAATACAAACAAAAGCATTTAGGGTTATTTTGACACATTTTAGTCAGAATATATTCAAAGTAACTCCATCAAATTCTTTGGAGACAAACCTGTATATTATCAAGGTTGATAGGTAGATGAGGAGAAGCTAATAACAGAAAAAATTCTATGAATGTCTTACCTTCTTTGAAGCTTAATAGAAAGTCTCTTCTGGATAAAAGCAAGGTCTTATTCTAGATATCAAGGTCTTTCTTCTAATCTCTATTATGATTTCAGAGGGACTGTGACCACTCACTCAATAATAATAATAAAGTTGGAAGGGACCTTGGAGGTCATCTAGTCCAACCCCCTGCTCAGGCAGGAAACCTATACCATTTCAGGCAAATGGCTGTCCAGTCTCTTCTTAAAAACTTCCAGTGTTGGAGCATTCACTGCTTCCGGAGGCAGGTTGTTCCACTGGTTAATTGTTCTAACTGTCAGGAAGATTCTCCTTAGTTCTAGGTTATTTGTCTCCTTGATTAGTTTCCACCCATTGCTTCCTGTCCTGCTTTCAGGCGCTTTGGAAAATAGCTTGACTCCCTCTTCAAATTCTGGAGGCAGGTTGTTCCACTGATCAAAGTGTTCTCACTTTCAGCAAATTTCTCCTTAGTTCTAGGTTGCTTCTCTCTTTGGTTAGTTTCCATCCATCCCCGTCTTGATCAGGAAATACTACAAAATTGCTTTATATATGTTCAGGAGAGGTGGTGCACAAATGACACACCCACAGCTGGAGATGAGTACACATGTGCTAGGAAATAAGTATGCCTTTCTTTCGAAATCAACCTTGCCCAGAAATGAGGAACTTGGTTTTTTTTATAGCAAATTCTGAAAGCATCATTATGTGGATGACTGTACTAATACAGGAAAGAGTAGATATGCTTTCTTTTTTTTACTAGAATGCCAAACACCTCCAAAAGCACTCAAAATAATAATAAGAAAAAAACAGTACTAACAACAAAATAGTAATAATGTGAAAGGTAGAGATAGATAGAACA